ATACAAGAGTTCTTGCACTTTAGCAACTTCCTATGTCATTGTTGAAGCACCAGCCACAAATAAAGTTAGAAATCATTCAAGACTGTGATAAGAAGCAGAATGAGCATTGAAAAGAGCACAAGCTTTGGAATCAGACAGAACTTTGAGTCCAGACCCTTCCACTTACTAGCTATGTGACCTTTAGTAAGTTATTTAACTTCTGTGCCTCAACCTCCTCATTTATAAAATTGACATAAAAGTGCATTTCTCACATAGTTGCAAAGGTTACAATAGATGATGCATTTGAAATGTTGAACACCATGTCTGACACATACTTAATAAATAGTAGCTCCTCTCCATTTCTTGCATGTGCCTGGTGCTTTAAAAGTAGATACACTGATTTACCTGAAACCATCATATTTCTTGTATTTCAAAATAATAAGGGGGTACAAATGTTTTTATTACACAGAAAGCTTTTATAATGCTTAAGTCAGATCTATTATTAATAGATAGGTGCCTATAATTCAGGTGCCCACCACCTGAATAATGTTCATTTACCTGATAGGTAGGTTTTTACTTCTCCCATCCTACCCCGCTCCCCCTTCTTGATTTCTGACAACGTTTACTTCTCTCTGTGCCCATGTGTGCCCACCAATTAGTTCCAAACTATTAGCAAGCACATGTGGACACCATCATATTTGATTGTGACAACAGTCCTGGGGGGCAGAGTTGCAGTGAGCAGCATGGTCTTCAAACACACACAGTACTGAAGGAAAGGAAGTGTTCATGGCCAAACTAGCTGGGGGAAGCATAGCTTTTCATTAGTCATTCAACATCAAGAAAGCAATAGTTTCCTCTGTTTAAGCCCTGAGTATCAGGCAAAGAATACACATCAGTCCCATTTGGAAAGAGACAAGAGTAGTATTAATGAAGTCATTGTTAATTACTTCTCTGGGATTTTTAAGAGACTTGGCTGTATCACATCCACTGAGTTGAACCACATGAACATGCTGACGTTTGACTGGTTTTTACCTACAAAACTATAATTTCATATGATTCAACCTAATACATTATTACTGAATTTTTTAAAGACTTTGTTTAGTTTTCTTTGTTTATTTTCTTTTCTTAAAGGCTGAATCAGGGAAGGCTAAGACATTACTTGTTCCTTCCCACCCTCCACAAAAAAGGGGACAGAATTGGCTTTCATTTGGTACAGAGAATAATGAGTACCATGTGATTGTCAGCCCATAATGTCATATTATTAGCCCCTTTTTGCATTTCATATTTACAGCAGCATGTGGCTGAGTTCAAGCTTGTCTTTTAATCTTCCCCTTGTTCCGACTAGGGGCAGTGGAGTTTGATAGGTCTGTAATTTGGGCAAATGCTGTGCGGGAGACTAAAGAACAGCAGGAACAAATTGGTGTCATTCTGTTCACATGCTAGAGAGAGAGTGTAAAAAGACAGTTTACTTCTCTGGTTGGGAGAAGATGTGAACTGTTATTGGAAAGTAAATTGCTACAACGTAGAAAAATGAACTGAATGGATTTTTTTTTTGGTGGAGGGGGTTAATACTGAAGGGATAGTGCAGCATTTGATGGTTGAAGATGACATCATTTGAACTGCAAAATATTAAACCCTTTAGGGCCGTTTAGAGATTATCTAGTCCAGCCCTCTTTTATAGTTGGGGAAATAGAGATTCAGAGAAGGAAAACAACCTTCCCAATAACACACAGCTAATAACTGCACTTTTCAAAATGATGCATGCCTAACCCAGGGAGAAGCTCTAGGTATCCAAAACAACAGGATTAACTTGAACCTTCTTGACTCTTAGTACATCAACTTTACTACAGATTGGTTATTTAATATAAACCTTAATAATTCATAATCAGACATGCAAATTAAAATATTCACTGAGCTATCACTTTACACATTTCAGGCTGGCAAAAATCAGAAGTTTGGATAATGCCAAGGATTGGGAGAGAGGGGGGAAAAGAGGAACAAGCTGTCTTCCCCTGCTAAGTCAAAGTTGGTGTAGCCATTCCAGAGCGCAATCTGGCAATGACTTAGTCTCATGAAGCAAACACACATTCTATGGCCCAGTAATTCTCTTCCTGGTATATACTCCAAAGAAATTTGCACATGAATCCAGATGAGGACATGTAGAAAGATGCTCCCTGCATCTCTTTCTAAGGAGGCAAGGACTTGGCAGCCCTGTGGGTGCTCATCCCTGAGAAAGTGAACAGGCAAAATGTGGTTACGTGCATGCTGGTGTATAATGCCTCAGTGTAGTATCATTTTAGATGTACACAAAGAGCACGGATGGTTCTTATATACACAGTGTTGAGAGGAAAAATGTAAAATTCACAGATGATATATAATAAATACCATTTTCTTACATTAAAAATATATGTACATACAGCAATACTTTTTGAATAATACATTCAAATAAAAAGATACCCACAACACATGAGCACAGTTGCATATGTTGGGAGAAAAAATGGGAAGGGGGGATAGGAGGCTAAAAGGGAATAAAATTAAAATGAAATGAACAGAGATGGAATGTCAGATTCACATGACTTTTGAAAAGAAAATAGTAGATTTCAAGTAAATGTTCTGCTGTGGCTGGCTTTGCACCATGTGCCCAGTCCTATGGAGATCAGAAGTGGGAGTGGAGTCGGGGAGGCTCTGGGTTCTATCCCTAGGGCTATTTTGATATAAGAAATCAAGAGGCCTTGAACCACTCAGTGTAACCATGGGCTTTGATTATGGACCAAACTATTCCACCTCACCTCCTCTTTAGCACTTCCTGAGGGATGTCTAGGCCAAAGTTGCATGCTGGACCTTTCTACCATTCCCAATGTCAACTCTTTGTTACTTGGCTCCTGGAGGGGGAGTTCCCCTCCCAAGTCACCCCCATGCCAGGCCTGACTTCTGGAGCTTTCTCTCCTCAGCAGTATAAAGTTTCTGCTACTTCCCTTGCTGGCTTCTACCAGGAGAGTTTTCTGTAAGAACTGCCACTATGTATTAATATTAAATTCCTGGCTAATGGCTAATGACAGGCCATAGTTATTTTACAACTCCCCAGCTTTACAATATGAAGGAATGCTGTTAGAGCCACAGAACCTAGAATCTTGGGGCATGGAATTAAGTCTGAAGGTGCATTAAGAAGACAGAAAAAACAGAGACACCTCTCTATCAATATCACCCAGAAGGGCTTAGGCAGAGAAAGAGAGTATACATGGAAAGGGGAAGAACTTGGGAAGGCCTAAAAATTTGTAGGTGAGTGTGAGAAAAGTAGGGCTGGTAGAACAGTTTCCTCAGTATTAATGCCTTATGTTTGTAAAGAGAACATTGATGAGGAAAACAAAAGAACAGTCTGTGAGGTTCCAATGAGAGAGCAGCTGTGGAAGTAGTGCTAACTTGCAAGCAAGCTAGCTGTATCATTTAAGCATTCTCATATTTACAATCTGTCATGCTGCCAAAGCTAATAAAATTTCCAAGAGACATTGCTTATCAATTTCTCAGCAACACAACAATCTCAAAAGTCCTTAATGTAGCCTCTATGTGGATCACTTTAACTCATCACTACTATATCATTTACTTCTTTGGCCCTTTTGCCTTTTTACGAATGCAGTATCTCTTTTGCTCTGTAGCATTTATCCTTGTCTCCAACAAAACAGCAAAGGGAGACGAGGAGCTCCTGCCAACCAGGATCAAAAAGTTCCCATCACTAGGATTCCACATGGTGTTAGGGAGTTGTACTTAACTTCCTGGAAACAAGCACTGGGAATTGCTTGACCAGTTTTATCCTATTTTCTAAACGTTTAACCCCTCCGATATGATGTGCAGAAGGGTAGGGTCCAGAACCAGTCAGACATAGTTTCACAGCTTGGCTCTGCCTGGGTGTGGCAAGTTGTTTTTTTTTTTTATGCCATGAAGAAACCTTTAATAGTCTTCAAAGTAGAAATTTTACAATTAGCATTGATTTACTACACTTTACAGCAGATATTCCAAATAGGTTGAAGTAACTGTATTTTAAAAAATTCCCCATAAGTTTCTACAGAAAAGCCGGGTATGGTAGCTCATTCAGGAGGCTGAGGCTGGAGGATTGCTGAGCCCAGGAGTTAGAGGCTGCAGTAAGCTGTGATTATTGCCACTGCACTCCAGCCAGGGTGACAAAACAAGACTCGATCTCAAAAAAAAAAAAAATTTTCTACAGAAAAATAAAGGCAAATATTTATAATTTAGGGATAGGAAAACTTTTAAGCAAAATACAACAGGATAAAGGGGAAAAGCCAATTTTGTCTAGATACATGAGAGTGCAATAAAAAAGAGCTATGTGATAAAAACACTCAATTTGAGATTCTAGCCCAGACATCTCCCCTGAATAAGACACTCAATATTTCCACTTGTATGTCTAACAGACATTTCCAAATTATCACATTCCAAATAAAATACCCAATCTTACTTCCATGAATGGATAGTCATACATTGCTTAAAGATAGGGTAGGTTCTGAGAAATGCATTTCATCATATTGCAAACATCAGAGTGCACTTACACAGACGTAGGTGGTCTAGCCTATCGCACATCTAGGCTATATGGTACAGCCTACTGCTCCTAGGCTACACTTGAACAGTATGTTACTGTCCTGAATACTGTAAGCAACAGTAACACAATGGTAAGTATTCTTGAATGTAGACATATCTAAACAAAGAAAAGGTAATGTGCTGTGGTACTACTTTATGATGGCTGTGACATCACAAGGGGATAGGGATTTTTTAGCGCCATTATAATCCCATGGGACCACTATCATATATGTGGTCCATCATTGACTGAAACATCATCATGCAGCACATGACTATACTCGTCTCTTGGCCTTCCTATCTTGGCTAATTTTCCTGTTCTTCCAGTTATTCAGCCCCAAATATCCTAGAGTCATCCTTGACTCCTTTGTCTTGCTATCCCATCCAAAAAGCCAGCTCCACCTTTAAAATATATTCAGAATACAACCCCTTCTCACCTCCTTCTCTGGTACCATCCTGTTCTTCGATTGGGCCTAAGGCAGGCATTCAGCAGAGGGGAGATGATTGGCCCAGAGCTGCCGTCTCTTCTGGGAAATGAGATCCAGAGCCCAGTAGCTCTGAACAAGCAGAGTAGGCAGCCTAGTTCACCTGCCTGAAACCTGAGTTTCTGAGTCTGTTCTGGTCATACAGGCCAGCCACAGACAACCTGTCCCTGCTCAGGGCCAGGGGTTCCTCATCTCCAGCCTTGTTATGGCTTTGTAGTCTGGTCCAAACTTGTTCCCAGCTAGGTCACTGAGCTGACAGATGTTCAAAGTCACAGGAGGCCCAGCCAACTCACCCTACAGGACTGACCAGAGCCCCGTTGTTAATTCCATCCTTTGTGTTAATTTCTGGGAAATGTCCTCCACAGACAGAAAAGGTCCACCCCCAGCACAAGACTGGAATGGCCCAGTGACCTCCTCTGGGGCACCCTAATACTCTATCTCCCCTGGGTCCCAGCCCAGAGCCCAGGGCTCCAGTATCTTTGCTTGTTTCTGTTTCCATGGGGCCCCATGGCCTCTATGACATCATAATGCAAATATCTTCTGTCTCTTATTTCTCCAAGGTTCCACCACAATGGCTCACCCACTACTCAGAAGACAGAGGTAGCATTTTCCCCACAGGTTCTGAGGTCTGGTTTGGCAGAAATACCAATTCATCCACTCCACCAGCTGTGTGTCCTTAGCAAGTCATTTAAGCTCTCTCCATCTTTGTTTATTTCACATACAAAATGAGGAAAATAATACCTATCTGGTAGGTTTAGTAGATGTAAAGAACACAACACAGCTTTCAATATGATTAGTTTGGAATGCTGAAACCAGACATCTTTTTCAAAGACCAGGAGGTCTGAAGAATTAAAGAAGTAAGAAGAAAACAATTTTTGTAAACAAAATGGACAGGATCCTGAGAGTTCAATTAGAGCACAGCATTTATTGTCTCTTTCTTCCCTCCTTCCTTACACCTTACACCTGCATTCAAACTTGCTTAAGCCAGCGCCAGGACTAGGATGAGGCATTAGAATGAAGCAGTAATCAAAACATATAATAGTTTAATGCAACAATTCTTAAAATCAAAATTAATACCAAAAAATCCATGAGGAAGAAAACATCAACACTTTCAATACAGAGAAGATTTGATTACTGTATTAAACCAAGAAGTGAGTGAGCATAGAAAGATTGAATTTTACCCCTTGAGAACCTGCAATTCCAGGTAGACAGAATCACAAATTCATCCTACTTGGTTTAATTCATGGTTCAGTGTTGCCTTCCACTTCCTCATGCCTGTCGGGAGCTCAGGAACAAAGGTGGGCTCAGTGGACAGCTTCTGGTTCCCTTGGACATTCCTTTGTTAGGGTGTGTGTGTGAGGAAAGGAAGAGGTTTCAAATCCGTATAGTGACACTGGGAGCTACAAACCAGGCAACTCTCTGATGGCTCTTTCTGTTTCCCCATTCTTACCTTCTCAGGATTTGGCCCCTTTCTAGTAAGAGAAAGGTACGGGGAAAAAAAAATGGCCTCTTCACTACTGATGCAGTTCTTGATCTTTTTCCTATGGAGGACTCTTGTATTTGTCCACTTTGTGCTGTTATAACAGAATACCTAAGACTGGGTAATTTACAAAGGACAGAAATTTATTTCTCACAGTTCTGCAGGCTGGGAAGCCTAAGATCAAGGCACTGGCAGATTCACTGTCTGGTGAGGGTCCAGTCTCTGCCTCCAAGATACTGCCTCAAACACTGCATCCTCTGGAAGAGAAGAATGCTGTGGCTTCACATGGTGGAAGGTGGAAGGGCAGAAAGGGACAAACTCTATCAAGCTCTTTTATAAGGGCACCTAATCCCATTCACAAAGGGAGGAGCCTTCATCACCAAATCACCTCTTAAAGGCCCTATCTTTTTGTACTATCACATTGGCCAGTATGTTTCAACACCTGGAGTTTTGAGGGGATGTGCTCAAACCATAGCAACTGTCAAAAAAAGGTCTTCTCAATTTTTCATGCCTGGAGCTCAGCCTGATGACATCATGGCTCTGCTACCTCCGTGGACTGCGCTGCCTTCACTTTGTGCCTTGCAAATCTATGTGGCTGCATTTGTGGTAGCTGGGGCCACTCGTGGCCGGTGCCACCTCTGGGCACGACAGCGGAAGACAAGGAAGGACTCAGCAGGTGCATGAGAGGGACCCACAGCTGAGCAGCATGCAATGAATGGCAGGTTTTCTGTAGATGCCCATTGTCAGGTTGTGTAGGCTGAGCCACTGGGCCACTTTGGGCGGGGCAGGCAAGGAGAGCCCCTTACTGGACTTGGCCCCAGTGGATGGACAAGAAACTGCTGGTCATGCTGGCCACCCACACCATTTGCTTCCACAACCCCACTCCCTCTGTCTCTTGGTGGAAGAACTGCAAGGAGTTCCATAGACAGCATCAGGAACATTGGGTCAGGACATCAAGGCCAGCTTGCCTTCTCTCCATGCTGGGTTCTGCCATTACCCAGAGCACAACTAGAGAGCCTGCCTGGAATTCCAGAACGAGGAGGTGAGCTGCAGAGAGTGACTACACAGGAAGGGCTGCTTTGGAGGTTTGTCTTGTAGCAGACAACTTTCTGGGGTCCACACGCTTCTCCAACTTCCAATGACATCTTCAGCCTGCATAAGCTTTAACCATAACTACTAAAGTAGGCTCTGCATCCAAAGCGAAGAAGGACTCTGACCAGTTATCAGATGTAACCAAGGAGCAACCTAAAGTAGCAGCAAACCAGCAGAATGAGCCATCTGATGCCAAGGAGAAAGGTTCCCAGCCATCTCCTGCAGTTTAAAGCGAAAGTAGTGTACACTGCCAGAAGAGACAGGGGTACACTGCCATCTAAGAGAAGGGTTATTTCTCAGTTCATACCCCCATGGCTAAAGAAACAAAAGTCATTTATTAGTGGCCAAAGATGGAGGAGATAAAAAAAGAGCCTACCCATGTGGTCGTGGAAAAACAGGTCTTAGATAAAGAGGAAACCCTTCCGGAAGAAAAGAGACAGGCCAAGGGTGATGCTGAAGAAGTGGCTCAGAGGAAGCCACCTGGAGATTAAGGTTGAAGTCAAGGAATAAAAACCTTCCGTGAGCAGAGCTGAGAGACAACCTCCTGAATTAGGAAGTAAGGAGAGAGAAGAGGAGAAGGTAAAGGAAATATAGGAAGACAAATCAGAAGGAGCAGCAGCAAAATGGGAGACCAAGAAAGTGCAGACCAATGAGCTAAAAGCAGAGGCCTCTCAAAAAGGCACCAAGAAGACCAAAAGTGTCCAGTGTAAAGTGATCCTCTTAGATGGCACCGAATATAGCCGAATATAGCTGTGACTGTTATGTATAGCTGCTAAGGGACAAGTGTTATTTCACAAAGTGTGTGAACATCTCAATCTCTTGGAGAACAATCACTTTGGACTTATATTTCAGGAAAATCCTGAGCAGAAAAACTGGCTAGATCCCACAATAAAAAACAAAGAGACAACTTCAAAATCTTCCCTGGCTGTTCACTTTGAATGTGAAGTTCTATCCTCCTGATCTTTTTCAATTGACTGAAGATATCACCAGATACTTGCTGTGCATTCAGCTCCGGTAAGACATCACTTATGGCCGTCTGCCCTGTTCCATTGTGTTTCATGCCCTCTTGGGATCCTACACACTGCGGGCTGAACTTGGAGAGTATGAACCAGAAGTTCATGGCAGCATTGATCTCAGTTAATATCACTTTGCCCCCACACAGAATAAGGAGCTGGAAGACGTGGTGGCAGAGCTGTACAAAAACCACAGGGGCTTGTGTCCAGCACAAGCTGATTATTGGTTCATAGACAATGCAAAGGGACTTCCCATATGTGGTATTGACTTACATGATGCCAAGGACCCTGAAGGTGTGGACATCAAGCTGGGTATGTGTGCTGACAGCCTCCTCATTTAAAAAGACAGGCTGGGACTCAAATCATTTTGCTTGGAGAAAAATCTTGAAAATTTCCTATAAGTTCAGTAACTTCTACATTAGATTTAGGCCTACAGAGATGGAACAGTTACCACTGAATCCAAACTGCCAACTACAGGGCAGTGAAAAGGCTAAGGAAAGTGTGCGTGGAGCATCATGCTTTCTATAGGCTTCAACAGCCACCAAAGGCCAAGTTCCTGACCTTAGGGTCCAAATTCTGCTACAGTGGCTGCACCTAAGCTCAGACTTGCTAGGCAAACACCCTCATAGATAGGCCAACACCACACTTTGAACATGCTTCTAGTAGTAAACAGGTCTCCTGGAGTCTTTATGGAGTTCCAATTGGTGTTGTGGACCACAGTCTTATGAAGGATTCTCCTGTCTCTGCTGGGGAGATTTCAGCATATGGCCTTGAAGTTGTCAGCATCGAAATGAAGTGGCCATTTTATCATCTTCTAAATCTCTCTTTGGCAGATTAAGGATCCTGTGGGGACACACTGGCTCAAACGATCATTCACCACTGGTCCATGGATGTTCGCATGCCCCTAGTCTCTCTGAATCACACTCTCTTCGCACTAGCCAGTGCTTGGCGTGTAACTGACATGTGTATGTCTGAAGAATTAAATACAAATCTGTAAAATGACGATGAGCATAGCTTTCTCACAGGATTGTTGTAAATGTTAGGCAATGTGCAGATAAACTATTAGTGTCATCTAAGCTTTACATATATTCTAGTGTTTGGTATATGGAAGGCATTCAAAATGTGCCCACTTCCTTTTGGTATCTCTTTCTCCTTTAAATTCCATGCTGAGAATACTCAACTACTCAGCCTCTCTGCTTTTTCCTTGAATTTCATTTTAGCATCCATCTTTATGGCTCTGTCATTTGAGTGACTTTTGCTGGTTCCTATGTACCTTAATCACTCCTCTCTTTCCTTTGTCTTCACCAGAGCATCAGCATCTGCAAGCTCTATAACTGGATTTGACTTTCACATTATCTTACCTGTTTTTAGTCTACCCCTCACAGACTGGATATGCATGAGAGAGAGCAAGACAGAGAAAAAGAGGGAGATAGATACTGACTCTGAGACTGTTTGAGCATTGTTGCTTTATTCCTCTTTATCACATTGAAGTCATACAGCTCTGAGACCAAGCCCCAACTTCCTCTGAGTGACATTAGGCAAAATACTTCACTTCTGGAAGTTTCAGTTTCCTCACCTGCAGAATGGAGATAATGGTATCCCCTTCACAGGGTGTTGTGAAGACTAAATAAGATCATGCATATGGTGTGTAGCACCACATCAGACCACTCAGAGCCGATCGTGTTATCTCCCCCAGCTACCACAACCCTGGATTTTGAAGGTTTTTTTGTTTTGTTTCACTGAACTATATCGAGTAACTATTCTTTTCTAAAAACCATAAATATCTACCAATCAGAATAGTCCCAAAGGTCAGTATTACATCTGTGAATTGCTAAACTCCTATTCAAAAGAGAAAGAAAAAAAGTCCTTCTTAGTCTGAACAACCATATTTTGGGGAAGTGTAAAATTTCAATTGAGTTAAATTGCTCTGAATCTAGAAAAGCCATTAAATGATAAATGCTTGCAATCTACCTCCTCATCCACCCCTACCCAGCCACACACACACACACACACACTCACACTCAGACTCCTTGACGATGGTCAGGCTGTCCATAGCATGTTCCCAACTCTCCTTTTTGATGTCGAATCTGGGTAAGTAAACCTATGAAACAAAGAGCTGATCTAGACAAGAGGGATGGGGGCAGAAAGCAAGACAAGAATGTCTCCATGAGCTCTATTTGAGAGAGAAGTTTGGGAAGATAGAGTTGGGGAGAAATGGGGCTGAGAAGCAGCTGTGGTGTCTGGAACATACTGAGAATGCAGGAAATAGAAAAACAGATTTTGAAAAACTCTGTTCCTTATGAATGTACTCCATCTTTGGCACTTTAGAGAGAGTTTGCAATGAAGATTTCAACTGCCCTTCGATCAGTTTGTATGTGGGACTTGTATTTCATTGATTGTAACATTGTGAGACATGGGGCCATGTGGGAATTGGGCTTTATTCAAATTATACAGCAAGACCTCTGAAACCAGGTCAAATTGTTTTCTAAACCTACTGCCTCGTTCCTTATGGGAATGAACACAGTCTT